TCAATCGCAAATCACTATCGATATGATTATCACTTCTTTAAGCTTCATAGAATTTTCCTGCCGCAAGAAATTTTCTTTGTTTCTAACACGCGATAAATGCTCCCTCATGCATCACGGCAGAGATGAATGACAATTTGAATCCCGATCGAATGAAAATTATATACACATATATATGTACATAAATATATATATAATTTATACATAACATTTATATATTATATTGCATATTATACATATATACATATATATATAAATATTATATATATAAATTATTATATACATATTCTATTATTCTAATGATGTATTACAATGATCTACAATGTAATTTGTATTTGTTACTGCAGAGCCATGCAAAAACGATAGCGAAATATGATAATATGATTTCCATTTGACGTAAATCATTTATGATATATATCCGCCGGATGTGACATCCGCGTTATTTATCGAGCTTCAACAAGAGAGGGAGATAAATTGTTCTATACAGTATCTTCGTTTTACTTGTTATTGAAAAAAAATGTAACAAGCAGATGTTTAATGTTACGAATAAATTATTGTTCGTGCATAAAGTAGCACGTATATATCATCATATACGATTTGTCTTGAGACAGAATATTGCGAGAAAACCGTATTAGCCTTCTACATTCTATCATTATATTTCAACACGTTTTATAATTAGAAGATCTAGCTTTATCGTATTTCCTCTTCTTCATCGTACTTCCTCTTCCTCCTGTTTTTTGCATATATCATGTTTTTTATTCATTGTTATACCGCATATTTAGTGCTAAACATGACTTTTCGATTCTATGCGCGTGTCTGATTATATTACATGAGAATTAAATTATTATTAAATTCTACGTTAGCTTCAGGCTGAGTTTCGATCCATATTAATATATTTAGATTAGGACTAATTTATTTCTTTCATTTATTCTTCGTGTACACATTAATTTATTCTAAAATAAATTTACAATATTAATAATAAGACAGGAAAATAGTATAATATAATAAAACAGCGTTAGTGTCGATTGTTAAAATTTACCTTTTAGAAAAGCTGCTGGCCAAATGTAATGTAATATTATGTCGGAGTTCGATCTTGAATCTTTAATCTTGAAAACAATTTTTGTTCTCCGTTTCGCTGTTCTCTTCTTTATTCTTTTTTCTTATATATGGTAGACTTGCAATTTACAATAGTCAACGCTCTGCGGTTTGATATTGAAATAGAGCATATGTAAAGAAACGGATAAAAAAAAAAAGAATTTAAGTGATCATATTAATATTGTATTTAAATTCTTAAATTTATTTAAATCGTTTCTTAAATTTTCATTCTTTTATAACACATTATAAAAGACTTTTATAATACATTATAAATGACATAAAAAATAATTAATCAGTAGTTAAATTTTTTTGGCAGTAATTTAACTAGATAATTGCTGAAACGTTTAAATTTTGGGTCAGACCTCGTCCAATTTGGTTGCGGCAAAAATTCCGTGCACTTTGGAATGCACTTTCTTTCATATGACTCGGAATTTAAATTATATACCGAGGCCACGGTTTCTATGTTTAGTATATTTCCACATGATGAATTTAATCTTCATAATAAAAATTCCGAGTTTCGATAATTATAGGTTTTATTAATTGTAGGTTTTATTATTAATGAGAGATATTTTTTAATAATAAAGTTAATGCTAACGAGAGAAAGTAGCTAGTGATAGCTGAAATTAAATTGGCATTGCTTGGCAAATTTAGAAGCTTTATTAAGGGTCTATGCTAATAAGCACATCATTTCTAAAAACCGTTTAAACAAAGCGTTATAATCGTTAAGTTAGGTTAAGCGATTATATAGTGGCGCATGTGAAACACTTCGTTTTCCAAACTTCTGCGCATTTTACAAAAAACATTGATATTTACACGCTATATTATAGTATAAATGTTTCTGATATAATATTGCATTAATATTAAACCTATATTATTTTAATTTTAAAATAATTTTAATATTAATATTTTAAAAGAGATTTCTAATTAAATTTGTATTTATTTTTCTTGAATAGCGTGAGAAGTAATGTTTCTGGACTAAAATTTTAAAATCGAAAGATTGAAAGTTTTTTATAATTCAAATAACAAAATTGATTGTCAATCTTAGTATTTGAAATACAAAATACATATTTTTACATGTTCCGTTGAAATGCAAAATATAATTATCTTACAAATACTATTTTTCAAATAAAAATATAGATACATGCCTGGATGTCATAAAGTGACTCCTTATTTTCTAAAGTTTTTGTTTGCAGATTCCTTAATTTACAATTTGAAATCTGAACTCGACTACGAGACATTTATGTGTGCTCGATTATATGTAATAACGTACAAATATTTTTTATATTTTTTATATTAAAAATATTTTTTATATTTTTTATATTAAAAATATTTTTTAGTCAATTGATATCTACAATTTCTGCAAATCATCATCAAAGTGGTTTCAATATATTTACTTAAATTCACGTGTAAATTAGTATAAACTACATTCTCCGTTTAACAGCTGTCGATTAGCAACTTCCAAAGAAATTATAGCAAATGGAACTATATTTACGAACTGCAGATAAATGTTTATTTACGTCTTTATACATGACTATAATCAGTTTTGATTGAAGCTAGATATAGTTTGCCATTGCTATGATATAACTTGAATATAAATTCCCTTTTTTTCTATTGAATAAATAACTGCTTTATTTTATACATGCTTTATTAAACAGACAATTCAATTGTTATTTGTCTGTATAATTGATAGAATTAAGCAACTGCATATAAAAAAAAAACTAAAATATAGAAATGAATCGATATTTTCTTTGAAATAGAGTGGAGTGTAACTCTGGTATAATAATTAAGAATCAATATTTAATCTACACAAAAAATTAGTGAATCGAGATTAGTACATTTTGTGTCGTGACTTTGTTAAATTAAATTATGAATTAATCGGAGACCTCCCCAGAAATAATTAATTGATTCCAATTCGGCAATCAATCGATCCTGATAATCTCCCTAAATTATATAAAGGATTATGATATTGTACAAGAGCCATATCTAATTAACGAATTAGTTTTCATATTGTGAAGATTAACCAAATGAATAGTAATACATATAGTTATAAATGAATTCAGTAAAGTCTCAAAATTGAGCACGATAATATGTATCAGCGTTAGAGCGAAAAAATTTAGAGTACAAACAAAATATACAATCGAAATTCGCAGCGCTATCAAATCCACGAAATTAATACGGAAATTCCGCATTATTGTATAATAATTTTACTACAAAATATTATCAACAAGTTAAAGGCTTTGTTCTGCGTTTGTTTGTTGGATGGCTATCAAA